GGCCTATATTAGGGTGATTAAAGACATGTACGAGGGAGCGAAGATCTGTGTGAGGACAGTGCGAGGGGTCTCGGACCATTTTCCAGTCATGATGGGGTTGCATCAGGGGTCGGTACTCAGCCCTTTTTTATTTGCCCTGGCGATGGACGTACTAACTCGCCACATCCAAAAGGGAGGTGCTGTGGTGCATGTTATTTGCAGACGACATTGTTTTGATTGACGAGACGCGAGACAGTGTTAACACGAGGTTAGAGGTGTGGAGACAGACCCTCGAGTCTAAAGGTTTCAAGTTGAGCAGAACCAAGACATAATACTTGGAGTGTAAGTTTAGTGGTGATACTCAGGGAGTGGAAGGGGAGGTGAGGTTGGAATCACAAGTCATCCCTGAGTCTAAAGGTTTCAAGTTGAGCAGAACCAAGACATAATACTTGGAGTGTAAGTTTAGTGGTGATACTCAGGGAGTGGAAGGGGAGGTGAGGTTGGAATCACAAGTCATCCCTGGGAGGGGAGTTTTAAGTACCTTGGGTCTATTATATAGGGGATGGGAGATTGATGAAGATGTCACACATCGTATTGGGGGGGGGTGGATGAAATGGAGACTCGCTTCCGGTGTTTTGTGTGACAAGAAGGTACCACCGAAACTTAAGGGTAAGTTCTACAAANGGTATTCGTGCTTATAGATATTAGTCTTGGACTACACATATATATTTGTAGTTATTCTCCATTTCCGCCTTTTTTCATTGAAGCCCACACTTTATTTGCGCTTTGGGCTTAAAGCCCCACCAGACCTTAGAGTTCTTTTGCGCTTTTTGCCTTTGATAACATTGCGGTGGTCAGACGGCTATGTTGTATGGAGCTGAGTGTTGACCAGTCAAGAGCTCTCACGTCCAGAAGATGAAGGTAGAGAGATGAGGATGTTGAGATGGATGTGCGGGCACACCAGATTAGATAGGATTCAGAATGAAGTTATTCTGGACAAGGTGGGTGTGGCCACTATTGAGGACAGGATGCGGGAAGCACAACTTAGATGGTTTGGACATGTGAGGAGGAGAAGCACAGGCGCTCCAATAAGGAAATGTGAGAGGTTGACATTGTAGGGCCTTAGGAGAGGTAGAAGTAGGCCGAAGAAGAGTTGGGGTGAAGTGATTAGGCATGACATGGCGCAGCTACAGCTGACCGAGGACATGATCTGTGATAGGAAGGTGTGGAGGTCGAAGATTAGGATAGTAGGTTAAGTAGTCTAGATTATTCATACCGGTAGGTGTTAGTACGTGCTCTTGTATTTGGTTGGTAGTAGGCTTATTTGAATACCTTTTTTTTTACACTATCTTGTTGTGTATGCTGCTTTTACATAGTTTTTCAGTGTTGTCCCGTCTTGTTTCTTGTTATTATTGTGGTACCTATGCTTGCCTGAGCGGAGGGTCTATTGGAAACAGCCTCTCTACCTTCACGAAGGTAGGGGTAAGGTCTGCGTACACACTACCCTCCCAGACCCCACTATGTGGGATTATATTGGGTATGTTGTTGCTGTTGTTGTTACTACTTGTTTCCATTGCTTCTTTTCATCTTCTCTTTATCTTCTTTTTAGCCGATGGTCTATCGGAAACAACCTCTCTGCCCTCCCAAGGTAGGGGTAAGGCCTTTGTACGCACTACCCTGTCCCGATCTCACTTGTGGGAATCCACTGGGTTTGTTGTAGTAGTAGTGGTAGCTCACTCATGCATCTGTCTAGCTATCACTAATTCTCCCGTCGCTAACGAGGAGTAGATCACTAATTCTCCTGTCGCTAACGAGGAGTAGAAGAAAACTGAAACATATATGTTGGGTAAGAAAAACATATGTTTTCCAAATTGACTTATTAAGTTTATTTTATAAAGCAATCAAAGTCTGTTCCCTTAATTTTGTCTTGCATACTGCATAATGTTTCAGTAATTTGTTTTTTCTTTTTTCCATCTCAGATTCTTTACATTGCACTTTTTCATCTGGATGTCTAAGATGGTTGCATTTTGCATCTTAATTTCTTCTCTCAAATTGCAATTAAATTACAGTTAACTTTGTCAGAAATACTATAAAAGTTGAAAGAGAAAAATAAAACTGCTTGAGAATGTAGAGTTTCAAGTAATTTTTTTTGCATTAATATGGATGTTTTTCCTTCCAAAGTTTGTTGTAATGTGACCATTGCTTTAATTGTTTCTTATACCAAGAAACTAACAACTAATGTTCACCGGACATTAGTATTTGTTTTGATGACTATCATGTTTTATAATCTCATTGTTCTTCTGGATTTTTTATATGGTTTTAGCTTTTTGAAAGATGACATCAGTGAATATGGGCATTGGGTGTTTGGGTGAGATATGTTGAAGTGGGTTAGTGGTGGATCCCGTCCATTATTAGGCTGAACTAGTGTTGGCTTGTAAAATATTCATTAGGTTGCAGTTAGACCAAAAAAAGCATTACGTTGTGTTGAACCATTCTGTGAAGCTCATTTTGAGTCTGCACGTAATACGTATCTGTGAAAACCCATACATTTGCCTCCTGCACTGCAAAATCCATTTAAGTGTTTATCTGTTCTATCACTTGCTTCTTATCCATTATATTGTTGCAACCTTGTTCTCCCTCCGGTCCAAAATAAGTGATTTTTTGGCCTTCTTTTTGTGGTCCAAAATAAGTGATTTTTTCATATTTCAAGAATGAATTAATTATTTTTTCCTACATTGCCCTTGGAGTAAATAGTGTTGGAGTATGTGTTAGGAGTGTTTATGTGAAGAGATAGTAAAGGTTAACATGCTCAATTTCATTACTAATTAATGTTAAAAGGTAGATTTCTTAATCTGTGTGAAAACATCTAAAAAATCACTTATTTTGGACCGGAGGGAGTAATAAATTGGCATTTAAGAAAATTAACTATTTCTCACTCTCTCGTCATTTGGACGTTGTTAACAATTTGTTCCTGGTGTCTTTTGTAGGTTAAATCAAAACTTGAAATTCTTGGCTCTTATGCTGATGCTACTGAAGGACTACTAACACACGGATGGATAACGAAGATTGAAAACCACGGTTGCTTTGTCCGCTTTTACAATGGAGTACAAGGATTTGCCCCTAGGTTATTACTCCCTTGCAATTCACCCTCCGAACTAAATGCCAATACTTTTCTGTATATCTGTATTTTGTTATTTTATAATGTGTGTTAACACATTAATTTTAGGCTTTTCTTTTTACTTCTGATCTGGTTATGTTTCTGTGAGCGATAGTACTTTTATTTCATTCTGTTCCTTCATCCATTAATCGTTTTTTTACATCTCTGGGAGGATTAAACGTGTATTACCTATATTTTCCAGACTTCTTCTTTCTCTTCTGAGTTATGAGTTTGCTTTACCAATTCTATGGATGTGGACTGATATAATGGCAAATAGAATATATTGGTCTAGATTAGCTTTAAGGATCTCTTTTCAGAATTGAACTCCGTTATTATCTGTATGAGAATACATAATTGCTTTGTAATGGAAAGTTGAATATACTGGTGTGGATTAGCTTATAAGGATCTTTTTTCAGAATCTAATCTTTTATTATTTGTATGAGATTACTGAATTGCTATTATCCCGATAAAACATTTAGAGTATCAGGAAGAGTGCAATAGCAGTTTCCTGAATTGTTGCAAATTGCCTTTGCATGCTGCTCGTGTCTTCATAATTTCTTTTAAAATGTGTGCTCTTAGAACATCTTTTGCGGATGTTAACTTTTTATTTTAAGGAAAATTTTATTCTTCTTCTTCTTTGCGTTCTGACAGTATGAAATAAGACTTAATGTAAATTAAAATGAATTGGATGACCAAAAAATGCTTTTAGATCAGGGTAAAGGCTACATGCGATCTGAGATTTGTCAGTATATTTGGCTCTGTATGTTATATACACAAAGATTTAAAACAAAGTCAAGGTCATGGTACTCTCTTTATCCTATATATGTCAACTTATGTTCTGCAGCGTCTTATTGGAACTGACGCTTCCATTTATTTATCCAGATCTGAACTTGGACTAGATCCGTGCTGTGAGATAAGTTCCATGTATCACGTAGAACAAGTGGTGAAATGTAGAGTTACCAGTTCTAATCCGGCTTCACGACGTATTAACCTCAGTTTGACAACAACACCCTCAAGGTTTGTTTCTTTTTTGTCTTCGTTAGAAGTTGCTTTAATAATGTAAAAGGAATTCGTTTTAACATGAAAAGTATTCATTTCTAACATGCTCTTGAAACTATTTTTTTATAAAACCGTAACTCCAGTCTGAATATTTATTCTTATTCCTCTAATGAGCTTCCGTTAGAAGAACATGTTATGTAGGAATCGTTTTTCTTTTCTCTCGATTATCACTCTCAAGCGGTTGAAGAAACAGCTGAATATTTTTCATAATGAGGGGATTAACTTTTCATATGCTTAAATATATGGAGTCTTGTATTCCAGTAATGATATCGTGCCTGAAAAGTGTTCCTTCAAATGTTGCAAGGATGTCAGCAATCTTTTTAATGAACGGGCTTTATGTGACAGTATGTTGCTATTGCTATTGGTACCATATGTAAATTTTGTGGATCATCAATACATGGATATATTAAAATTAATATTTTTGCAGCTGTTTTGCTTTCTTCATGGTGGTTTGTCAGAGAGTTGGTGTCTCTTGAATCATTGACATCTTTAGACTGAAAACTTTATGCGAGATTTTCTTCACGAAGCCACTTTATTGCCATATTGATCAAATATGCATGTCTCCTTGCCCTGCACTCAGTTGCATTTGCTGGATTGCAGTTTTTGATTAAATAAATGATTCCTCCATTTATTTGAATGTCAATGCTAGGGTATCTAGCAATGAACTGGTCAAACCAGGAAAGGTTGTTTCCGGAGTGGTTGAGCGAGTAACTGCCGATGCAGTTGTCGTAGATGTTACTGCTCAGGGTCATTTTAAGGGCACAATCTCTCCTCAACACTTGGCTGATCACACTGGTGAATGTTATTCAATTGAATCTTTTTTTTCCCGCAATTGCTTTTACAGTTTGCCCTATTTTATTTCCTTGTGCACTATATGTATCAATTAGGCATTTAATATTCTTGTTTTTGCCACTTTGCAAGGCCATGCTGAGTTGATGAAGTCTGCCTTGAGGCCTGGGTATGAGTTTGATCAGCTTTTGGTTCTTGGTACTATTTCTATCCTACATCCAGCTGTATTCAGTGATCTCTACAGTTAATTTCTGCTCATTTCCAACTATTTTTTTCATAGCTCACTGCTCACTTGTCCAGTAATTTTGTCTTTTATTTGTTGGATAGACATATAGCTAACAGTTTTTCTGACAAGAGGCCAAAGTGGTAGTATGCCTGAATAATAATAGCAAAAAGATGGTGTCTTGTTAATCTAGATAAGGCATGTCATTGAGAAATTAATGAAATTCATTATGTTAAGGAAAACTTATCAATGGTGCAGTATGAAACCGAAAAAACAAAAGAGGGTACCAGAGACTTCTTGGTTTTCTAGTTGCATGCTACAAAGTCAAGTGTTGAATACTAATTTAACCAAGACTGCTGTAGATGTTGGAGATACCCATTATAATACCTTATATTAATGCTGCAGTCGACTTTGTATCCTCTGGACTTGTTATTTATTCTTGTTCTTATGTGATTCTTCTGTAGTTTAACCAACTGCGGCTGATAGACTAACCTGTTTTTCTATGTTCTTTTAGTTTTTCGGGCTGCATAAGAAAGTATTTAAACACGTGCACTGACTAGATATTTGTCTGGATCTTTGATGTTTGTAGATGTTGAGGGCAGCAATTTAATACTCTCTGCAAAACATTCTCTTGCGACATCAGCTCAGCAGCTTCCGCTGGATGTTAGTCAAGTCCATCTTAACTCTGTGCTGCATGTAAGAAACTTACTTCCTAGTTTCTGAGTTTCTTTCATCCCTCCCTTCTAGGTGAGTTAGGTAACTGTTTATAATCCAAATGGCAAGGAGCTGAGGCATATTTTTTTCTTTGTTTTATTCCTTCTCTTATGGGGTGGGCGTGGTTCTTGCAAACTGTGATTGTTCATGACTGAAGAGATCACAACAAATAAGGTTAAAAGGATATTTTTTGATCCCCAAAGCACTAGTAGTTGAAGTTAGTTTATTAACTATGATGTTATTACTTTCTGATAATTCCACTTCTTGATAACCACAGCATGTATCTTTTTATCCAGGGGTATATTTGTAATATAATTGAAAGTGGAGTCTTCATTCGCTACCTTGGTCGTTTGACTGGTTTTTCTCCAAGGAACAGGGTATATACTTCTTGCAGTAAATCTACTGGCTTCATAATTGTCTATTTTATTTGGATGAAGTGCATTATATGATCAATAAAAATCGCTGATTCATCATCGTTTTTTCGTGAAGGCTACTGATGACAGAAGATCTAGTCTTTCTGAAGTTTACCAGATTGGACAGTCTGTCCGCTCTAACGTAGTTGATGTAGGTCAACCGTTTGGTAAAATGAAGCTTTGGTATGTTATGCTTTTGGCATTCCCATTTATATTTAGGTTCTTCCCTTCTCTCTCTCTCATTCAGGTTAGCAGTGAAACAAATCGAATTACAGTTTCTTTGAAGCAGTCGTCCTGCTCTTCAACAGATGCATCCTTTATTCAAGAATACTTCCTTGCGGAGGAGAAGGTAATTACTGACAATGAATTCCATATTGCAAACAACTCTTCTGATCACGACTTCCCTGTTTGCTTGTCAGACACACCGGTTATTCTGTCTCTTTGCATATTTAATCACTCGGTAGGAAAATGAACTATCAGAACAATTGTCAAAAGAAGAAAAGTAAAAAAGGAACTATCTCAACGAAGAAACATTTTGGAAATCTGTAGAAAAATCTTCTTCAGTATAGGTCTATGTACATGGAAATGCTCCTTTACTGTATGGGCCTTGTGCAGGCAGACTTTCTGTCCTTAGGGAGGGTCTGTCCTTAGGGAGGGACTTTCTATCTGGTAATGCACTTGAAACTGCCTTAGTTAACTGTAAATCCTTTTATTTTTGGGTTAAATGGGATTCACTTTAAATCTTATTCCTTTAAACTTAGTCGAGACTTTTCCCGTTTGATTTTGATTTATCTTCTCTTACTTCTTATTCTTGGTTGTGTCCAAGGAAAGAAAAATATCACGTGTTCTTATGATTTGGCTGTTTTGACTTGAAACTTCTGGAAGTGCCATAAATCTTCTGCTTTGTAGCTTTTGACTCGAATGATCAAGTCTGTTATGGTCTTAGCTCATCTGTTTTCTCATTAATTAACCTTTACAACTTTCAAGAGCATGAATTCCTGCCTTGGGTCTAGAACAGGTGGGGCTGGTATGTGTATTATCTCCTGCTTACAGAGGAGAATGTGCTAACCTGAGTCAAGATACCCAAAAAAACAAGTCCTGTGTGCTAAGGTCATGCATTGGAGTCTCTAGTCTCATCATTGTTCCATGTCAGTAGGAATGTTTCTATTTCTTGGGTATCACAAAGACACTTCTACTCGTAATAATAAGTAATCTATGCCAATTTACAAGTTTCAAGTATTCTAATTCGTTGAGCAATTCATGCTTAAAGAATCAGGTGGTGTTTCTTTTGCTAGTACAAATATGACATACCAACTATGGGATCTCTGTGCTCAATCAGACCTTGTTTTATTAAAGGGGATGTAGGGACACTCTTTTCTTTTAGAATCAGAATCTATATCATTTTGATTGGATCTTTATTCATCTTTCGCTGCTATCAGATTGCAAAGCTGCAGTCGGTGGACTCTGGAAGTTCTGATTTAAGATGGGTGGAAGAATTTAATCTTGGCAGCACTGTGAAGGGAAAAGTTCATGAAATAAAGGAATTTGGTGTTGTAGTAAGCTTTCAGAAATATGATGATGTTTTTGGTTTTATCTCCCACTATCAGTGTAAGTCCCTTGGATACATTGAATAACCAGTTATTATTTGTTGCCTTGAGAAAATACTAAGTAAATGAGATTCTTTGCAGTAGGTGGAATCTCTGTGGAGACTGGCTCAAGTATTCAGACCGCGGTACTTGATGTTTCCAAGATAGAACGCCTAGTGGATCTGTCTTTGAAGCCAGCTTTTGTGAATAAATCAAAGAAAGAGACCACCAATAATCAAGCCCCGAAGGTCATTCTTGAAATATCTATTTCATTGTTGTGCTGTAATGTTCATTCTCTCAGTTTTTGCCTCATTAAGTATATTTAAAAGAAAAATAATAGCTTCTTGCTTTCATACTAATTTTTCTGATAACGGAGAAATCCCAAGGGCTAGTGGCGGATGGTTTGGAACTCAGTTTATAATGGGCCTGCCCCCTACCCTTTTCTACTTAAATACCAGGCTTTTCTCCGCAGCACTGTTTGAACCGCGACGTGTGGTTAACCCACACATCACAAGTTGCGCTCTTACCAGTTTCCACTAGTCCAAAGCCTTCGGGGGCTGCTCTCATACTATTTCTTCGAAGAAAAACTATTAATTTTGTGTATGCAATCTTGTATTTTGTTTTCTTCTTTTATCTTGTATATATATTGGTTGCACTACATTTCTTTTTCTCTTTCATGTATCTGATTACTTTCCCTTCATAAACAGAAACGCAAGAGGGAAGCACTTGGGGAATTGGAAGTAAATCAAACTGTAAATGCAGTTGTGGAGATTGTTAAAGAAAATTACTTGGCAAGTCTTTTCAGTTTTTTGTTGTAATTATTTTGGCTAGCTTCTATCCATACTGTTTAGGCATGCTTAACCATTTCTGTTAACCAGGTGGTTTCACTACCATCATATAATAACACTCTTGGATATGCATCACGGGCTGATTACAACACTCAAAATCTACCCCCTAAATCATTTGCCAATGGAGAGAGGTAACAATCCGGATAATTTCTATTGTATTTTTTTAATTGTGTTTTCATTTTCAGTTCCTTTATGATGTCTAGCTGCAGCTAAAACAGATTGTCATTTCATTTATTGGTTTTTACCGTTTAGTGGTTTTGCTGATGTTTGCAATTTATTGTACTCGAGTTGACAATGAAAATGTTTACGAATTCTAAAGGAAAAGCAAATGAGATGTGCATTACATCATGGTCTAAATGCTATGACTTGACGTCGTCCAAGAAATGTGAGCTATGACCTGCAGTATCACTAGACTCGGGAAGGAAGTAAAGAGAGAAAATCAGGAAGTTCAGAGAGTAAAACTTGCTTCGACGTGGTTGTAATTTATGCTTTGTGAATAGCAAATGGGTGAATAAGGTAGTATGATCAAAAGAAAAAAAGTATGTTGAAGAATCTTGTAGTATGGTTCAAAGGAGATGTGCCAACTTGATAAAGACAAGGGAATTTAGATATAGGAGTTACCATCTTGGAGTGCGGCCCTTCCCTGAATCCTGCGTGAATGCGAGATGCTTTGTGCACCGGGCTGCCCTTTCTTCTTAGTAAGATGTGTGCGCATATACCAGTCAGAAGATATGGCTAGCTGATATTTGAATGGATGAATATATAAGAGAAGGCTACCATGGAATCTGAATCACTTATGATATAGGAATGTCAGGAGCGTACACCTCTTTCTATGTACTCCCTCCGTTCCCATTTATGTGAACCTGTTTCACTGGGCACGGAGTTTCAGAAAAAATGAAGACTTTTGAAATTTGTGGTCCTAAACAAGTCAAAAGGGGGCCCAGAGTATTTGTGTGGTTATAAAAGCTTCTCATTAAGAGTAGAATTATAAGTTTAAGCTAAATTGTTTTCAAATTTAGAAAGGTGTCATTCTTTTTGGAACGGACCAAAAAGGAAATAGGTTCACATAAACTGGAACGGAGGGAGTAGTATTTTAATATAAGTGGATGTCGACTTTTAAGTCAAGGCTCAAGAATTATTAGTTTAATCACGGGACATAATAAAATTAGAATGACTTGTGTGGAAACTAGTTGAGTGGAAGGGGGAAAAAATTCTCTACAGCTACAAGTTGTTGCTAAGAATTTCCTTTCCATAAGGCTGTGGAAGAATGTACTGTTCTTGCTTCATTAATGTACTCATGTCTCCGGCTTCATGCTATTGTGCTTTGTATTCTATGGATAGCTAAAGTAATTCATATTCATTAAATGCATGCTATTGTGGTTTCTAGTTAGTAATATTTTTATTTATTTTTTCCTAGATTGTGATTCATTTTCCTTTTAATGTAGTGTCATTGCCACTGTTATGGCCATTCCCTCTCCTTCAACTAGTGGAAGATTGCTGCTGCTGCTTAAATCTATTAGTGAAGCTATTGAAACGTCGAGTTCCAAGAGGGCTAAAAAGAAATCTAGTTATAATGCTGGATCACTGGTTCAGGCGGAGGTATGGATATCCTCTTTGGTAGTAGTTACTCTTACTGCATGCAAGATTGAGATCATAAATTACCTGGGATTATATCTTGTCCTTTCGATTAACTGCAGATTACTGAAATAAGGCCACTTGAATTGAGACTGAAATTTGGGTCCGGTTTCCATGGGAGGGTGCACATAACGGAGGTGAGCCACTACTTGATGACTTGTTCTCATCTGATCACATAAGGGGTCTTTTGGTTGCTGGTTAGAGAGAAGTTATTCATGTATTAAAACTAGCATAACTTTATATATTGTTTGGTTACAAAATGGGAAAAAATAATCTCCACATAGAATCTAGCATAAATTATACAATGTTTGGCTATGTTGCTCCGACTCTCCGAAAATGTTGCGGGATACGTGTCGGATCCTCCAAAAGTAGTGTATTTTTGGAGGATCCGACACGGGTGCGGCAACATTTTGGAGAGTCCGCGCAACATAGATGTTTGGTTGGTTTTTCTCTTTTCCACATTAAACAGAGCATTGCTAATACAATGTTTGGTTTATGTTTTTCTTTCCCCGTAACTAATACATGTATAAATTATGAGGAAATCTATGTATTATTTTATGCAGGGTAGAAGATGGAATAACTAATACATGTGTTAGTAATACTTGGATTAAAACACAAAATTACAAGAATACACTCTATTCAAACTTGTATTTTTTTTTTAAAAAAAACGTATTTATAATGTGCTAACAATGTTAATAGCAGTTGTAAAGTATAATTGTTTAGAAAATCTGTTTCAATGGTGTAAGGAGAGGACAGTAGAAGACTTCTCAGATGTTTTAGACTTTTTAGATTCATTGAGATGAGTGTACTTAATTTCTATATGGTGATTTCTGTATTGTTGTAAAGTTGTTTTTTCAGTACCATCTTGGTACTTGCCTTAATAATATTTGCTTACCTTATCAAAAGAAAATATGCTAACAATGTTAATAGAATAAACTAGACAAATAATTAATGATACTGACAGTACATTTCTATATTACTAATCCTTACATAACTAATTTCCGTATAACTAATCCCCGCATAACTCATTCGTGTGTAACTAAACTCTGATAACTAGCCCATGCATAACTAATACCTGTATAATTAATCTCTGCATATTTCGTGTTCGAACCAAAGACCCCTAAGGGTACTATGAGTTCCCCTCTCCGCCCTTAAGATCCTTCCTTTCCCAATAGAAAAAGAAAGAAAATACACCTAATAATAGAGATCTTCCCCTTCTCGAAAGAAAAGGAAAAAATAAAAGAATAGGAGGAAAAGAAAAAAGTATAATTTGATTTTCCGTGTTCCTAAACTTGTGGTTTTTAATTTCTTGATGAATAGGCATCAGATGACAATCATGCTGAAGCTCCATTCAGTAACTTCAGATTTGGGCAGACTCTTACTGCAAGGATTATTTCAAAGTTCAATATGTCAGAAAGTATTAAGAGAGGCTATCAGTGGGAGCTATCCATTAAACCATCCACACTTGCAGGTGAAATGATAACATGGCCACATATGGCATGAGATCTTTTTTGTTTTACTGACTATTACGTCATATGAATTTCTTCCACTTGAGCTTGTCTTCTACCTCATCCACTTTGGACATATTTGCATTCTTGTTAGATCAAATCTAAGATTGTCAAAGTTTACCTTTGACTGTTAAACTCCAGATGGTACTTTATCAAAAAAAATATACTGAAATCTGTATTATGCGACATATTACTAGAAGGTGTGTTACCTTATTTTTGTTACTTTGCAAGCTCCACAAGCCCAATATGTGTCTTTGTAGTAGGACCTATATTTTACCCAATCCTTGTATCTTTGCATGCTTATTCTTATGTTACTGACTCCAAAAACTCTCGTGATTCTATCCTTCGCTATATACAGGATATGTGGGGCCATTCTTTGACTGGGCTATTGTTCCCCATCTTATATATTTGTGGTTGGCACATATATGCATGATGATGAGAGCTCTTAAATTTTATTCAATACATCACATTCATTGTTTGCATGAGTTTATGGCTACATGTTGACTTGCTAAGCTTTTAAAATCTTGGCTCTCTTTTGTTACCTTTCTCAAACAAAAACAAAAAAAGTTGGCTTTCTTTTATGATTCCACTGGGAATGGTCAGAGTAGATGCAGAAAAGCTTATTTTTATACCGTTCAAAGAAATACAAACTAAAATAATTCTTATGAACCAGGGGTTGTTCTAAGATGGTCAGATTGACATTCTTTAATAGACATGATTGATTTCATGTTCAAGTGAGGCAAGTCTACTTCTTTTTAAAAGTACTCCTTTTGACTATGGTTGTTCTACTTGCATGTCAGGATCTGGTGAAGTTGAACCCGTTGAGGAATTCAATTATTCAACCGGCCAACACGTTACTGGCTTTGTGTACAAAGTTGACAAAGAATGGGCTTGGCTAACGATATCTCGAGATGTTAAGGCCCAGCTGCACGTCTTAGATAGCTCAAGTGAGCCTAGTGAGCTAGATGAATTTCAGAAAAGGTTCTCTATCGGCAGGTCTTTTTCCGCTTATGTTTTAAGTGCTAATAAGGAGAAGAAGTTGGTGCGCTTGATTTCACGACCGCTGTTAGTTGACGTGGAAAGATCTGCCCGTCAAAAAGATGGCCCCCCTGATCATTCAAGTGAAAGTATGGCATTTCATATTCGTGAAGGCAGTGTTTTGGGTGGCAGGATTTCCAAAATCCTTCCAGGTGTTGGTGGGTTGCTTGTTCAGATTGATCCTCACCTATATGGTAAGGTTCATTTCACTGAACTGACAGATCCAGGGGTTGCTGATCCGCTGTCTGGATATCATGAAGGACAATTTGTAAAGTGCAAAGTTCTGGAGACTACTCATTCAGGCAAGGGCACTGTTCATATTGACCTCTCGCTGCAGTCTATTTCACACAGAACCCAGGATCAGAAGCTTGCTGTAAACAATGACACTGTGTAAGTTCCAAATTCCTTACTTGAATTGTATTAAGGACTATTCTTAAGGCTATGTTCTCATTGTTTTGCATTATTTCTTCAAGGTCAACAACATGAGCTTCGTGATACTAAATGCATTTATAATCTTCATAGGTATTAGGTTTATTATCATGCTGCAAATTTAAAACATGCTACAAAATTTCTATTAAAGGAATACGTTGGTACTTCTAACCGATAAAAAATTGATGTGGCCTAAGCCTTTTAGGTGGTTTCTTGAGAGCACTCTTCAATGAACTCTAAATCTGATGTGTGCTATGTACTTGATCCCAGTGATGACTTCTGTTATCCAAAGTGCACTGAATCTTTTTATGTGTTCTCCTGTTTACAGACCTGAGGTAGTCAATATTAGATGATTAGCGGGACAATAGAGTTCTCTTTAATGAATTCTAAGGCCAATGTGTGTGCTATGCACTTGCTCCCAGTGACTTATTTTATCTGATGAAGTGCATTGGACCTTCTTATTTTTCACGATCCTCCTCGCTGCAGACCTAAGGGAGTAAATTTTAGATGAGTAAGCTGACTTGTCCGGTTATGATGGTCTCTTAATATAGTAGGTAAATAGGTTACGAAACTGATAAAGCTGTATTACTTTGGAATCTCACTCTATACGAAGTAGTACTAGAGGAGGGGACGGGTTATTTCCCTGGTTTGGCTTAGGAAATAAAAGACAAGGGCAACTGAAGTGGAGCCTCCACATTAATTAGCTTTTCCAGTCCCTCTAGAATCAAAAGAAACAATTTAGATGTCTTTCCAACTGCACCAAACAATTGGATGAGAAGTTTATTACTTATTCAAAAAGTAGTCAGAGACCCGTATTTCCCCCTCTGCTTGCTTTCCTCCTTGAGCTTATCTAACAACTATTTCAATGTTGATATATAGGGGGTTGACACCCATATCATTTCTGTACTCTTTTTTATTTTTGATTGATTTCTTTTCCCTTTCTTTGCAGGAATTTTCCTGGATTGGTGGAGAAGATAGAGGATCTTCGTCCAAATATGGCGGTGCAGGTACAACATGATTTATATGTATTTTTTTTCCATTGCAAACTGTATTAATATGCAGTCAGTGCTCTTTCTGTAGTTTTTTCTTGACCTTTTCAAACCTATATTATTCGCCTCTGCTTGCATCTTTGTTTTCATTCCCCCTCCATGCAAAAGATAATGTGCAACATTGATGATGACACTCTGATAGATGTCTCTAAGTTAATTTTGATGACAATCTGGTATTGAATCTTATGTAACTCGTGTCAAGATTGGAAATCAGAAGATTGGGGTAACATACCTTGTCTTTCCATGAGGTCCAAGGGATGTATTCTTCTGGTGGGTGGAGAAATCATATGCTTCTCTTCCTCCCTTGGACCAAATGAAGTGATCTTCCTAATATCTCATCGACATCACTACTAGGTAATCGCTTGCTCCTTCCTGAACATAATCAGCCCTACCAAATTCTCTTCAAGTAGCCCAAAATCCCACAAGGAGGATAATTTCCTTTGCTATTCATCCAACATCTGCTTTTCTCGAAGTTTCAGCTTTCTATAAAATCCTTCACTGTAAGTGGCATAAACCAACCGATACCCTACATATTAAACATCAGATTTCACATTTAGGGACAAACTTGCATCATAGCAAAAAGAAGTTAACATTTAACAGCTAATGCCCTCCCCCTAAAATACAAAACAAAACCATTTAGTTATTTTTTAAACGTCAAGTCTCTCCTCAATGAACTGGCCTCAAACCAAGGGTTTCTGAAATAATGTCTTCCCAATTTCAACTTACGTGTTCTGGATCACCCAAAATTCATTACATATTTCCATTGAGCTGTCCCTTATGAACTGTTTAGCCCCTCGTAAACCCAGTCCCTTTTTCATCCCCATACTTGTCTGAAGTTAACCTTCTCCTTTCTGCTGTCACTTACAATGCCAATGCAGAATTTCTCAACTGCCACTTTGCTTATTGATTAATCTCTTCTGCTTAGTGTGGCTGGCGTCTTAATAGAGATATGTTGTATATGTGGAAAGATTAGAGTGTATGTCGATGCTAATGACACTCCCTTCAGATATGTTTTCTTTTCCTGCCCACTAATATCAAAATCATGAAGTAACTGATTCCCTTGTATCGCATATATGACCTTTCTTGTTTCTTTTTCCATTCTACTTTTCTGCTGAAAGGTTTATGCATCCTTCATATGAAACGTCCTTCACACGGTCTCAAGTCTGAACTTTTTGTGCGACTGCTTGCAGATGCCTCTTGTATTCTATATGTATAATAAATGGATATGTGCTGAGGTCGTAACAAACTCATTCTTGTATATGCACAGGAAAAAGTTAGTTGTCTATTCATTGTTTTCCATTAAAATCGTTCAACATATAGGATAGGAACTGGTTTCTCAGTTATAAAAGAAAAAAAATATAACACATAGGATATGACCTGATTGTACTGATGAACTCATTACTAAAATCATTTTGGCATTTCAGTATGTTACTGTCATCTGCAATGATGATGGGTTTCCTTATTCTGCGAGTTAATTATTGTGGAGGTTCCTCTCTTCTTTTCCCATTTTTTTTACTTTTAGGCATATGTGAAAAATGTTACACCGAAAGGATGTTTCGTAATGCTTTCACGCAAAGTTGATGCAAAAGTTCTTCTCTCAAACTTGTCTGATGGCTACGTTGAAAACCCGGAGAAAGAATTCCCTGTTGGGAAACTTGTCGTTGGCAAGTAAGTTTTGTCAGTACGGATAAACTATTTATGTCTCAATCCTCATGTTGTCGTATACTAAGTTCCTTTATTGTAGGGTGGTGTCGGTGGAACCATTGTCTAAGCGAGTTGAAGTCACTCTAAGGACATCAAGTGCAGGCGGTGCTTCCAAGTCTGATAAAGATGCTCTAAGTAATTTGACTGTTGGGGATGTCATATCTGGCAGAGTTAAGCGAGTTGAACCGTATGGCTTGTTTATCATAGTTGATCAGACAAACATGGTATGTAACTGGTCACTTCCAGCAGTTATGACTTGCCTTTGGATAGTAAGTTATGACTCAAGTTACCACATTATTACTTTTGCACATGCTTTAAACTCACAGGAAATTGAGTCTATATCTTTTTACGTATTGTAATTTCATCAGCTGTAAAGCAATTTCTTGACTCTTTACTGATAAGTGTATCTTTTTTCTTGTCTTGTATTTTCATCAGCTATAAACAAGTTCTCTGTTCTTTAAGAAAGTTCTGATGTTCATCGTGGATATGTTTTTCTCATCAGTTTACAATAGTGATGAGCTATGGTTCTTAGCAGAAAGCTCGTGTTTTACTTGTGTGCTGATGTTTCAGCTTCATTTTCTAGGTTGGATTGTGCCATGTTTCAGAGATTTCTGACGATCATGTCAACAATATTGACTCTAGATACAAAGCTGGAGATAGAGTGAGGGCAAAGATTTTGAAGGTAAATGCTTGTTCTGTATGACAATGCAGTTCCACGGAGTAGACAAATACTTTGGACTAGGTTGAAACTTTATCAAAACTAAAAGGAAAAGGGAGAGTAATGGAAAAGTATTTTACTTATATGCCTTGTTTCTTTTTCTTCTCTGTTTCCTTTTCTTGGTTTTTGGTTTCCTGGTTCGGACAATAATAAGATGTTACCCCACGTTATATAAGCGAATTCACTTAATTTGTGCATCTCAAGTTCTTTGATCACCATACCATCTGAAGCACTTCAAGTGCTAATATAGCTTCCAGAATAACATGAGTGATGACTTAGGCTGTAGCTTGTGTGTTATTTCTTCCATCTGGGTCTGTTTCACTCAAACTCATTGTTTTGCAACCTTTCGTTAGGTGGATAAGGAAAGACATAGAATATCACTTGGGATGAAGAATTCATATTTTAATGATGCTACAAGTGGTGAAACAAATACAAGGCACAGTTCTGGTTATGCAGTGGAAGGAAATGCTCTTTCCAGAGGTATCGAGTCAACTCCTTCACCTGAGAGGAGCTCCCAAGAACGGGAGAATCTTGACGGTGAATCTGTAGATGGGACGGACCTGTTCCTTGCTGAAGTTGAATCTCGGGCATCAGTACCACCATTGGAGGTCCCACTTGATGATATAGAAAATTTGGATGTGGGCGATGTAGTTAATCAAGACTCAGGTGATGCTAGCAATTTAGATACTTCAGATGAAAAGAACAAGAAACTTGCAGCAAAGAAAGCTAAAAGATTGAGGTACTGTTTGATCATCAATCTTCTCTTCAGGTTTACAAATTCATAGAAAGCAAAGTTGTCTGTATCTTTATTGTCTTCATGTGATACAATCTTTTTAATGCAGGGAGCAAGAAATTAGAGCTGCTGAGGAAAGATTACTAGAAAAAGATATTCCCAGAGATGAAGATGAGTTTGAGAAATTAGTTAGAAGTTCCCCAAATAGCAGCTTTGTCTGGATAAAATACATGGCATTTGTGCTGTCTTTGGCTGATGTTGAGAAGGCACGCTCAATTGCTGAACGGTAAATCTTTCAAGTTATATCTTCTTCATCTAGAACAAACAGTGAATTTCCTTTCTGCCAAAAGAAGAGTTACTAAACAAGCCTCTGGTCATATTGGTATTTAAGCTCTTGGTTAGCTATTATTTCTTGTCACTCTTCTAAACTATGTCTACTTCTTGTGCTCCAATGTGATAGTACAGTCAATATGTTGACGGGGTTATAAGATTATAATGTCCTGTATACCTTGTCAAATTGCAAGCATGACAAGATTATTGAAGGATAAGTATATGGATTTCTGGATTCTTAAGATCACATTTTGGGGAAAACGATCTTGGGCAGGTTGTACCATCAGATTTAATGGACTCAGAAGAGATTTGTGAATGTTAGAATAGTCATGTAAATAGGAGTAAATAAATAACCCTAATCCAATATATGTTAGGAGTAGGACATGTTATGTGTGTATATATATAGGGCTCATTGTAACATATGTATATACATCAATAATATATTTTCTCCCGTGCTTTCTCACATGGTATCAGAGCTTTAGTGAGAAACATATCGCTGTGCATCATTCCAGCGACTTCCGGGAAGAAAGAACTCAGTCACCGTGCAATTTTCCGGTGACCTAAGTGACTTATTGCGTCAAAGTCACTAATTAACAGTGTTGTGCAAAATCCAACACCACCACAAGGTTCCCAAGAGAGATCCGACCAAACCCCAGAAAAAAATCACCGGAAAATAGCCCTCCACGCGCCGTCACGCGCCTGTCGGAACTCTGCCGCCGGCGGCGCGTCTGTCCCACGCGCCGGCGCGTGAGGCCTCTTCCGGCCATTTTTCGGCTTCGCTTCTTCAGGACAGTTGGATCGCCCTGCAATTCCGAGCCTGTCCATATTTTTATTTTTTAATTCCGACCACTTTGAGTTTTTCCGGCGACTACACTGATTTTTCCGGCAGCTACAGTACTTTTCCGGCAAACACAGTGTTTTCTTCATCTGTCTCAGAGAATTTTCAGTTGATTCTTTTTTGTTATTTAGTGATAATCCAACCATGTCTTTGGGAGTCGATGCTTTCGGGTCTAGAAACCCGAGTTCTGGCAGTTCCGGTGTTATGATTACCTCAGAACCTTTAATGGGAGGTTCAAACTACTTAGATTGGGCTTCATCTGTCGAGTTGTGGTGTAAAGGTCAAGGAGTTCAAGATCATTTAACAAAAAAGGCTAGCGAAGGTGATGAAAAGGCCAAAACACAATGGGAGAAGGTCGATGCTCAGTTATGTAGTATCCTGTGGCGATCTATTGATTCCAAGTTGATGCCCTTGTTCCGTCCATTCCAGACATGTTATTTAGTTTGGGAAAAGGCTCGTAATCTATACACTAATGACATATCTCGTTTCTATGATGTAATATCGCGAATGACAAGCTTGAAGAAACAGGAATTAGATATGTCTACTTACTTGGGACAAGTTCAGGCAGTCATGGAAGAATTTGAGACGTTGATGCCAGTTTCTGCTAGTATTGAAAAACAACAAGAGCAACGACAGAAGATGTTTCTAGTTCTTACACTCGCTGGACTCCCTAATGACCTTGATTCAGTACGTGACCAGATTTTGGCTAGTCCAACCGTCCCCACAGTTGATGAATTATTCTCTCGATTACTTCGCCTTGCTGCAGCACCTAGTCACCCAGTGAGCTCATCACAGACACTTGACTCATCTGTCCTCGTATCCCAATCAGTGGACAATCGGGCATCTCATACTATGGAGAATAGACGAGGAGGAGGTCGTTTTGGAAGATCTAGACCCAAGTGCTCCTATTGTCATAAACTTGGACACACTCGTGATGTATGCTATTCTTTACATGGCCGCCCAACCAAAAATGCTTATGTTGCTCAGACTGAGACTACAGGTAACCAGGGATTTTCTTTATCTGAAGGGGAGTATAATGAGTTCCTTCAGTATCGAGCAAGTAAGCAGACATCTCCACAAGTAGCTTCTGTTGCTCAGACTAATACTTCTGTTGCTGGTAATTCTTTTGCTTGTGTTTCCCAGTCTAGTCCTCCTGGACAATGGGTTGTGGACTCAGCCGCTTCTGATCATATCTCTGGTAATAAATCACTTTTGTCAAATATTGCGTATTCACAGTCTCTTCCCACTGTTACTTTAGCCAATGGGTCTCAAACCAAAGCAAAAGGAGTTGGACAAGCGAATCCCCTACCCTCTGTCACTCTAGATTCCGTTCTCTATGTCCCTGGCTGTCCTTTTAATCTTGCATCTGTTAGTCGTTTGACTCGTGCCCTCCATTGTGGTATATATTTTATTGATGATTCTTTTATTATGCAGGACCGCAGTACAGGGCAGACGATTGGAACAGGACTTGAATCAGAAGGGCTTTACTACCTTAACTCCCTAAAATCCTCCAAGGCATGTCTAGTTACAGATCCTCCGGACCTAATTCACAGACGTTTAGGACATCCAAGCTTATCCAAGCTTCAGAAGATGGTGCCTGGTTTGTCTAGTTTATCCACATTAGAGTGTGAGTCATGTCAGCTCGGGAAACATACCCGAGCCTCCTATCCTCGTAGTATTGAGAGTCACGCAGAGTCTATTTTTTCTTTAGTTCACTCTGATATATGGGGTCCTAGTAGAGTCAGTTCAACCTTGGGATTTCGTTATTTTGTTAGTTTTATTGATGATCATTCAAGATGTACTTGGATTTTCTTAATGAAAGATCGTTCTGAGTTGTTTTCTATATTCCAGAATTTTTGTGCTGAAATTAAAAATCAATTTGGTGTTTCCATTCGCACTTTTCGCAGTGATAATGCCTTAGAATATTTATCCTCTCAATTTCAGCAGTTTATGACTTCTCAAGGAATTATTCATCAGACCTCTTGTCCTTATACCCCTCAGCAAAATGGGGTTGCAGAGAGAAAGAATAGGCACATCATTGAGACTGCTCGCACACTTCTCATTGAATCTCATGTTCCGCTGCGTTTTTGGGGCGATGCAGTTCTCACAGCTTGTTATTTAGTTAATCGGATGCCTTCCTCTCCCATCCAGAATCAGATACCGTATGCAGTATTGTTTCCCCAATCACCCGTATACTCTGTTCCCCCTCGTGTTTTTGGGAGCACTTGTTTCGTTCATAACCTAGCCCCTGGGAAAGATAAGTTAGCTCCTCGTGCTCTCAAGTGTGTCTTCCTTGGTTATTCTCGTGTTCAGAAGGGATATCGTTGTTACTCACTTGATCTTCGTAGGTACTTTATGTCCTCTGACGTCACATTTTTTGAGTCTAAACCTTTCTTTACCTCTTCTGACCTTTCTGACCCCCTTGATATATCTGAGGTCTTACCTATACCGACCTTTAAGGAGTCTACTATAGCTCCTCCTTCACCTTCCGCCACAGAAGTCTTACCCGAGTCTCCTATAGCTCCTCCTTCACCTTCCGCTATAGAAGTCTTATCCATTCCAACCGTTGAGGAGTCTAGTGTGGCTCCTCCTAGACTCCCTGCCACAGGAACACCACTTTTGACATATCATCGTCGTCCGCGCCCAGCATCAGGTCCAGCTGATTCACGTCCTGCACCTGACCCTGCTAATACTGCGGACTTGTCTCCTCTTAATCAACCGATTGCACTTCGGAAAGGTATACGGGCCACCCTTAATCCTAATCCCCATTATGTCGGTTTGAGTTATCATCGTTTGTCATCACCCTATTATGCTTTTCTATCTTCTTTGTCCTCTGTTTCCATCCCTAAGTCTACAGGTGAAGCATTGTCTCATCCAGGATGGCGACAGGCTATGATTGACGAGATGTCTGCTTTACATACGAGTGGTACTTGGGAGCTCGTCCCTCTTCCTTCAGGTAAATCTACTGTTGGTTGTCGTTGGGTGTATGCAGTCAAGGTTGGTCCGGATGGTAAGGTTGATCGTCTTAAGGCTCGTCTTGTTGCCAAAGGATATACTCAGATATTTGGGCTCGATTACAGTGATACCTTCTCTCCTGTGGCTAAGATAGCATCAGTCCGCCTTTTTCTATCCATGGCTGCTGTTCGCCATTGGCCCCTCTATCAGCTGGACATTAAGAATGCTTTTTTACACGGTGACCTTGAGGATGAAGTTTATATGGAGCAACCACCTGGGTTTGTTGCTCAGGGGGAGTCTCGTGGCCTTGTATGTCGCTTGCGTCGGTCACTTTATGGTCTAAAGCAGTCTCCTCGAGCCTGGTTTGGTAAGTTCAGCACAGTTATTCGAGAATTTGGCATGATTCAGAGTGAAGCTGATCACTCTGTATTCTATCGGCATTCTGCCTCGAGTCTCTGTATTTATCTGGTGGTCTATGTTGACGACATTGTTATTACCGGCAATGACCAGGATGGTATTACTAAATTGAAGCAACATCTCTTGCAACACTTTCAGACTAAGGATCTGGGCAAACTAAAGTATTTTCTGGGTATTGAGGTCGCTCAGTCTAGCTCAGGTGTTGTGATCTCACAACGAAAGTATGCCTTAGATATTCTTGAAGAGACAGGAATGACAGGTTGTAGACCGGTTGACACTCCGATGGATCCGAATTCTAAACTTATGCCAGGACAGGGGGAACCTCTTAGCGATCCTGCAAGATATAGACGGTTGGTTGGTAAATTAAATTACCTTACAGTGACAAGACCTGACATTTCCTTTTCTGTGAGTGTTGTGAGTCAGTTTATGGATTCTCCGTGTGATAGTCATTGGGATGCAGTTGTTCGCATTCTTCGGTATATAAAATCAGCTCCAGGCAAAGGTTTATTGTTTGAGGGTCGAGGCCATGAGCAGATCGTTGGATACTCAGATGCTGATTGGGCAGGATCACCTTCTGATAGACGTTCTACGTCTGGATATTGTGTCTTGGTAGGAGGAAATTTGGTGTCCTGGAAGAGCAAGAAACAGAATGTGGTTGCTCGGTCTAGTGCAGAAGCAGAATATCGAGCAATGGCTATGGCGACATGTGAGCTAATTTGGATCAAACAGTTGCTCAAGGAGTTGAAATTTGGTGAGATTAGTCAGATGGGACTTGTGTGTGATAATCAAGCTGCTCTTCATATTGCGTCAAATCCAGTGTTCCATGAGAGAACTAAACACATTGAGATTGACTGTCACTTTGTTAGAGAAAAGATACTCTCGGGAGATATTGCTACAAAGTTTGTGAAGTCGAATGATCAGCTTGCAGATATTTTCACCAAGTCCCTCACTGGTCCTCGTATTAACTACATATGTAACAAGCTTGGTACATATGATTTATATGCACCAGCTTGAGGGGGAGTGTTAGAATAGTCATGTAAATAGGAGTAAATAAATAACCCTAATCCAATATATGTTAGGAGTAGGACATGTTATGTGTGTATATATATAGGGCTCACAGTGAATATATATATATATATGGCTTTTAAGTATGATGTTTCTGCTCCAAAAGGGGGAGTCTTTGAATGAAACAATTTAAGAGAACCACATGAGGTGCAAAATCAAATGCACTGCTCATACTTGGCCACTGAAGTGAAGTTGCCATGATATTTATTCTTTTTTATGCATTAGTGTTCTTAGGTACTGTGAGTTGTAAAATGTATTGGAAAATTATCTATAACCTGTTAATTGTGTCTTGATTCTTTTCTCAAGGGCTTTGAGGACAATAAACGTTCGAGAAGAGTCAGAGAAGCTGAATGTTTGGGTTGCCTACTTTAATTTAGAAAATGAGTATGGAAATCCCCCACAGGTATGATAAAACAAAGATATTGATCCATTTTTTATGCTTGTTATATTTCACTTTGCAATGAGATTTCCTCCTATATTTTCCTCTGAATCCCTTATTCTTGATTTCGATCCAGGAAGCTGTTGCAAAAGTGTTCCAAAGAGCATTGCAGTATTGTGATCCCAAAAAGGTGCATCTGGCCTTGCTAGGAATGTATGAGAGGACCGAGCAACACACACTCTCAGATGAACTGCTTAACAAGATGGTTAAGAAGTTCAAGCATTCATGCAAGGTACTGACAACTAAAAGTGGCTTTGGAAATATTTTGGTTGATCCTATTTAACTATTGCCAACTCTTTTTGTTCTCTTTGCATTTAGGTTTGGCTCAGGCGGGTTCAATGGCTATTGAAACAAAGCCAAGATGGAGTCCAGTCAGTGGTGAATCGTGCTTTACTAAGTCTTCCTCCGCACAAGCATATTAAGTTTATTTCACAGACAGCTATTCTAGAGTTCAAGTGTGGGGTTCCTGACAGGGGTCGCTCCTTGTTTGAGAAAATGCTTCGCGAGTATCCCAAGAGAACTGACTTGTGGAGTGTTTATCTTGATCAAGTACCGTCTTAAACTGAACTTTGATACAAATACGTAGACATATATGTATATATAAAGAAAATCTTTCTTTTTTTACTGTACATGACTCAAATTAAATCAAATGAACAGGAGATTCGACTAGGAGATGCGGATGTGATCCGTGCTTTATTTGAAAGGGCAATTACTCTTAGCCTTCCACCCAAAAAGATGAAGGTGATTATATATTTTTAAAAACCCTGGAATATTCTTTGTGATGTTTCTTGCGATTTGTTTTTTCTTAATTGTTTTAAGATGGTAGCGATTCTATGGTTTTCTAATGGCTTTTGATGTCTGGAGTGCAGTTCCTTTTTAAGAAGTATCTTGAGTATGAGAAGACGCTTGGTGATGTCGATCGTATGGAGGCTGTGAAAAGAAAAGCAATGGAATATGTTGAGAGCACTCTTGCTTAATTAAACCAGCAGTCATGTAGATCTGAATATCAAGTATATGAGTCGTCGATCAGTGCCGGAGAAGAGATGTTCATGGCATGGCCTTGAATTCTGTCCATTGGTTGAAATTCAGAGATTTCCTTGAGGTTGAAATTGTCTGATTCTCATGCATTTTCGACATACAAGCGCGACAAACAGTGGTTAGGTACTGCTGGAAGTAACGTTCCCATCAGTATAACCAACTTCTCTTGTAGGACCCACAATTCATCGATTGAAATACAGCAGTTAGGAGATTGACATGCAACATGCTAGACAGCAGAGAAGCATGTGTTCGTGCTGATTTTCAAAATGTCACACTAATTTTGCAACTTATATAGGAAAATTTTGGAACACTGAGGAATTGTGGTGTAAAGAGAATCTTAGTTTTATGCAAGAGGAATATGCAATTGTGTAGGTGCTTGTATAATTATCAATATGATTCATGATAAAATTACTCATTGTATGGCATATTAACGTTAAAATATTTTGTGGGCAATGCCAGTAAACAACTGTTGATTCATTGCCATTTCCAGTTTATAAAAGCTAAAAGCACGACAGTATCTTTCAGTTTTCAGCAAGAGAAATATGAGAGCATGTAAGCTGTTCTCACCTCATTTCTTGGTAAGGTGATATGCTGTTCTTTCTTTTAATATATATTTTGCTGTCTGATGTAGAAATTTTGTTGCTGAAATGCCTCAAGAATCTCTGTTGACCTCATTATTTCCAGTATTTTTTTATTTATTTTTTTATTAGTAAAAAAAAAAAAAATAGTGCTTGCTTACTCCAAGGTGGAAAATGAAATGAAAGTACTATAGATATACCTGAGTCACTTCTTCACAAGATTCATCCAATTGTCAGAAATGCTATTCTTGTCTCTTTTTTCTCTTTTTTGGGGTATGGTACAATGTAGGTCGTTGGCAAGTGATACAGAAAAAAATATGCGGCTTCTGTTTCAATTTATGTCATAGTTTGATTGCAGAAAGAGTTTAAGAAAAAGAAGGAAATTTTAAATATGTTGTTATATAGGAGTAACATATATGCGATTATAGGACTTGAAATTTGTGATTTTTTATACATTTCATGTCATTTATGTAAAAGCTTGTTGTCAAATTTTAAAAAGTATCATCCTTTTTTTAACGAATTAATAAGGAATATTGGACGGAGGGAGTAGCACATATTTTTTCTTATCCAATTCAAAATTTAGTTGTCGCCAATAACGAGGATCTGAAAAGGTAAGTTGTAAGCTTTGTTTTCTATTAGAAATCAATCTTATTACCTGTACTATGTAAATCTATATACTAAGTAACACGTTATTTTATTGTGTTCATGAAAAAAAAAAAGCAGAACAATTAAAACAGGGACAAATTCTCTCACAATAATCTCATCCCAAAACCAAATCCAAACACCAAACAAAACAAAACCAGGAAAAAAAAACCTTTTCTAATCCAAACACACTCAACAACAATATATTTCATTGTTTGGGTTGTGAATTATTGCAAATAAATGATGCTACACAAGAAAACAAAACTTACACCCCTTTTCACCTATATGTTCTTATTTCACCAGAAAATAATCTCATAAAATTGAACAACTTAAAATTGTTCTTTGCAGCTTCATTAAAACCTTCTTAACTTGCATAACGGTCAAAAGAGTACGAGGGAATACAAACTTTATTACTACATCTCATGTTGAACATTGAAACAGTTGTACATAATGGTGACTTTATCAATTTACTAATGACTTATGTGGTTGAAAAACAATAAATCGCCAGTATTCTGAAAGAGCTAATCTAAACTATGCAAATTTTATATCATGGTTTTTGCAGCAAACAATAAGCAGGTGGCTTCTTAAGCATCACAACTTGTCTATCTATTCCAATTTATCTAGTTCTCCACAATCCAAGTCAAAGTGCACTGTGAAATGCGTCAATTATCTCTTTAGTAATTCATAATCGAAAACACAAAACATTCCCAACTAGTAAATATTTCTTCTACAGGATGAAGTACTCTGACAATTTCTTCAAAAAAAGAGTCATCACTGGTGGTGAGCACGAAAGATAAGTGTATTTTCTCAAAGTTATGACCATTAACAAGTCATCAAAAAGGCTATACATATTGTTACGCACGCCGACAAAATTGACCATTGCAGGAAAGTTATGATTTTGCATTTCAGTTTTGAGAATAAAGGAAATGTTTACTCCTCCATACGATTTTCCTCGGATTTCTGCTGTGAAACCTTGACCTTGATAGGCAAGGTGAGAGATGGGTCGTTGGCGAGCGCAGCAGGAGCTTTGACCATATGAATGCTCTGCTCGAGCTCCTTTGTTGCTTCTCTCTGCTCCTTGGTTTTCTTTCCTTTCATCCTGTCCAATTTTCCAACTAATGTTAGTATATAAAATAAGAAAATAAAACTACATGATGCGACTTAATGGAGCAGTATAAAAGGACCTGTTTTTGTGGTGCCTTTCATCTCTGACAACTCTGATTTTATCAATTTTCCGAATGGCCTTCAGAGTGTTCTCAGTGACATTCCTGTCATATCTCTCCGGCCTATTGCGCTTCCTCTCAAATTCAAATGTCGAGTCCTTCAAATAGCAACATGCAGCAACAGAATTCATAATTGAAGAAGAATAAGCAAATCAGTGGAGTGGATGGAGCAAATGCAACAGGAAAAGAAGAATGAAAAGGAGGAATACTATTCACCTGAGTCATGTCCTTTCCATGCAGCCGTCTATATGCTTTAGTCCACTTAACTTTTCGTGGATTCCTCTTCATCTTAAAGTTCTTGTGACACTTTGATCTACAGAACCGAAATATCTGCAAACAGAAATTTAACAGAAAGAACTTTTCATTTACTTGATCAAACAGCAAAACGTGAGAATATGCCCGTTTTGTGGCACTAAAGCAAGATGCCATCACTACTGAACATTAGCAGAGCAATAGGAAAGCTCGAAAAAACAACAAAACAGGGCATGGAGAAAAATGGAGTGCAAAAAGATTTTTCTCTCCTGAAAAACCAGCCACTGCTTTTTATTGCTTTGTCCGAAGGTGCATCATCATACTATGGTGGACCAGCCATGATAAAGACAAAGAAAATATTACAGATCACAGAAATGCACTACAACGTACTCCGGCCTTTATGCACCAGTTTTCCAGTATTGTCAAATGTCACAAAGCACACAATTTTTTATATACAAAATGTCAGCAAGCACATGTACAAATAATTCTCAATTTTTATACCAATCCTGACAACCAACATGCTTGTACTAACTGAGTAGTTTATCCATGTAAACTTTGGGAAGGACAAAACTTTCGCCCAGTTATAGCCTTCTGAATTCGGGAAAATTGCTCACTACTGCAAATACCAAGCAGTCAATTCTGAAGTCTCGGAAAGGTGAAACTTATCACCTTCAATCAAGTGATCAACTCAATACTAATCCTTTGCTTAATCGGAAATTTAGATTGCATACATTTTTAAGACGGTGGTGCCTGGGCCAGCTTGCAAGTAGCTTAACTGCTCCACCCGATACATGCTACCTCATATCAGTACAGGTACCAAGTAACTCTGCCCACTAAAACTTAATCAGATGGGAAGAAATCATCCAGTTGTTTTTGCCTCTACTGCCTCCACGGTTTGCACACTTTATTGACTACTATGTCACACCCTTGGGTGTGAAAACAAATTGCTAACATCTCCTGCTCGAAATCCTAAAATGAGCAATGTTTCTTGCCACGGATCTACCTACACTCAAAAGCTACTCACCTAATTGCCCCACTGAAACACATCGACTCAATACTAGTCTTTGCTTAATCAGGAGTTCGAATTACAAACTACTAATATCACTTGCTCAAAATCCTCAAATAAGCAAATGTTTGTGCTCACAACTCAAATCTACTGCCCTAATTGCCGCTGTGACAAACATTGACTCAGGTCAACTGGTACAACGACACTACAATTGCAATTTAACAAATGACAATCACTAATCCTTCATATCTTAACCTGTTAATTCTTTTTTTTCGAAAACACCCAGCAACAAGAATAAACAATATGGTTGAAATATTTTTCTCTCAAAAGTTTATTAACCATGGGGCTTTAAAGAGCCTTAACGAAAGCAGTAGACTCCTCTTACTACTGATTATATTAGTAAACCACAGTATTAAACTCCTTCTACAACTAAGCAAATAGTTATTCCAGCAAATTTGAGGCAACAAAGGACGCAACATTCAGCATAACCATGATATACAAGGGAGGAAATATAGCTAAAGAAAAAGAAAAAGAAAAAAACCTTAGCGTCGTTTCGAACATATTGAATACCATGGCCTGGATATACAGTTGAGGAGCAAAACCAACATTTCTCCAACCTCATTGTACCCTCCTTTTATAACTTACCTGAAAAATCTTTACCACAAAGTCAGTCACACAATTTGACAGGTAACAGTTAAATTGTTGTATATTCTAAAGCTAAGATTTTTCCAACAAAAAGAATTGACCCAAGTGATTTTACAGTTCAATTATTCAAAAATTGAAAAAACGGAAAAGGAAAATCATGTCAAAACAAGATCAAATAAACAGCAAAGACATTTCGAATTGACAAAAACAAATGAATGACAATTTCTATGGAAAAAACAGCTCTAATAAAAATTAAGAGAAAAATAAAGGCAAAAAGAGCATGAGAAAGAACCCTAGTAAAAAGCGTTGAGGGAAGAAGGGTGGAGACAAGGGCGGCTCTAGGTTAAGGCAGGTGAAGCCCTTGCCTTTAAGTATACTTTCTCTCTCTATACATATACATACATGCATACATACATACATATATATATATATATATATATTTTAAATTTTTAAAAAAAATTGATATAAGTAGTATTGGGTGAGTTAATTAAATAAAAAAATTATCATTAAATTAAATAATATATTTATTTTCTCATCAATTTTATTTATTCTTCTATGTATAGTCTTTTTTAAATATTTTTATTTTTTAATTTCTACTCAGATACTCTAAATTAGCTTTTCGTTTTTGTCATATTTGAATGATCCATACATCATAAGTTCTTTTGTCTATATCTTTTTTAACTAAGAAATTCTCGAGACAAGGGCCATAAGATTCAAAACTCCATGAATAATGGGCTCATCCATTTTTTATTGGGAAATTATCAGTTATGTCTATTTATAAGTAGCTCATTACAAAAATTGGCCAATTGATAAAATATTACTATTATTAGCCAAATTAGCCAATTAGCTATTTGTAGCAAAAATATCAAATTTTTGCTTTGTTTTGAGTGAGTGTTATTAGAATAGATTGCGCACAACTTAAGGAGCTTGAATCTCAGTTTTTGGGATGATTTGGTAAAGTTTTAAGGTGGTTTGAATTGAAAATTCGAAGTAAAAGCTGAACATGAAAAAAAATGATATGTGTCACACTGTGTATCATTTGTGTATCACATATGTATCATATTTGTATCAATTGTGTATCACATGTATATCCATGTATATATGTGTGTGTGATACATGCGTGATACATGTTTGATACATGTGTCGCAGAAGACTTTGTTGAACTCGATTTAATTACGAATTTTGGTACAAAACCAGTCCAAATCACCTCCAATCTTCCTCAAATTTTGTATATTGACTTATCTATGTATTTTCAATGAATTTCAACTATACCCATTGAAAAAGTTCCTTTTTTATTTAAATTTTTGGAATATTGTATAGATTTTTATATTTCATCACCTTATTTGTTATCCCGTCCATGAAATTTCCTTTCCGTCCTGTATCTAATAATGCTAATCACGCTTAAAAATATAAAAGGTGATTTTTGCATGTGATTCTTTGAGAGAAAGAACCCTATTATTTAGTTTTTCAATTTTTGTTGGCTAGTTTTGGTAAGTCTATGACTAATGGCTAGAGATTGGTAAGTTGAGATTTATTTGGGAGATTTGTGTAAGTTTCCCTTTTTTATTTTCACTTAATACAGTCAAACCTCTCTATAACTTATTTTTATTAAACAACTTATTTTTTAAGAAAACTTGATATAAGTAGGATTGAGTGAGTTAATTAGATAAAAAAAATTTAGGCATAATACATACTTCACCCATCGACTTTGTCCCCAAATCCCTCTTACATACCTCTTAAATACAGAAATAATATTACACACCAAAACTTTTAAAGGTGTTTCAATTACACACCACTTTAGTGGTTGACCATTTCTGCTTAAAGGTTGCTCTTACATGCGCCAATCAACATATGACACGTGTCAAATCGAAAAGAAAAAAAAACTGAAACAAAACTCTGCCACCCCCCCCCCACCCACACACACACATACACTAAAACCCACTCTTCTCATCTTTCAAAGAAAAAAAATACAGAAAAGAAACCCCTCCCTCTCCTCATCTTCTCCACCACCACCATACTGCTACCAACCCTTCCACCACAAGAACCTTCTTTCTTAACTATAGATTCAATTTTTTGCTGATTTTAACAAGTTTTAACAACATCCATCACAAATCCTTATACAAATTCCAAATTCAAGCTCAAACCCAAAGCGTCAAACTTGTTAATGGTGTTTTTTGAGTTTTATCAAAATTAATTACCTAAGTAAATTTTTACTCAACAATAACAAATTCAAACTAATTTTCTAGGTCATGGAACACCAAACAAGACCCGATTAAATTTTCAAGCTTTTTCAAAAAGTCAATAATGGTGATTTTTACAAGACCCAATAGCTCCTATGTTCTTCTTTTTTTTTTCTTCTTAGTCATGGGGTTGGAGAGACGAAACATAAGGGGTAGATAAAACTAGGACGATGGTTGGGGAAGAAGATGAAACAGGAGGGGGGAGGGGGAAAGAAACGCTAGGGTTTGGGGTTGGGGAAAAAGACATGAGTTATATTTTTTTTCTTTAATTTGAAAAGGAAATAGTTAAAAAAAAGAGAGAAAAAAAACACTTAATTTCAGGTGAATTTTTTAGTTTTCACGCGTCTCTTTTATGTGTAATACACGCGTCTGACACATGGCAAAAGAGGTGTGTAGTTGACACACTTTTTAAAATTTTGGTGTGTAATACTATTTCCGTGTTTAACAAGTGTGCAAGAGGGATTTGAGTACAATGTCGATGGGTGAAGTATGTATTTTACCAAAAAATTATCATTAACTTAAATAATATATTTACTATCTCATTCTTATTCCTCTATGTATAGTCTCTTTTCTATAATTTTGTTTTTTAATTTCAAATAAGATACCCTAAATTAGCTATCTGTTTTGTCATATTTGAATAATCCATACATCATAAGCAAGTTCTTTTGTGTATTTCTTTTTTAACTAAGAAATTCACGAGGCAAGTACCACAAGGTTCAAATCAAAACTCGATTAATAATGGGCTCACCCCATTTTTATTTTCACTTAATATTATATTTTTGTATACGGGAGAGTTCAATACCATGATGTGCTCTCACCACTAGATCAAAGTTATTTTTTTTATATCTCATTATTATATAAATTTTACGAAAGAAGTTTAAGTGTTTTTTAGTATATTTTGATTTTAGGCTACCAGTTCCGTTAAAAGCACTGCCCCACGAATATTATGTTCAATCAGCATTATTCACATTTGATAAATGGATGATACATTCACAATATTCTTTGTGATGGTTGTCTTAATTTAGACTCTATAAAACTTGACTGAGAACGTTACAGAAGGATAGTGTGGGTCGGGGGGGGGGGGGGGCTAATAAAGCCTTGATTTGGGGAGTGGATTTTATAATTTTATTTTAATATAGATAATATCAAAGTTACAGAAAAAATTAAAAAGTACAGAAATTCTGTTAAATAAGAAGAAAGAAAGAGTGTCTACTCTTAAACAATAAAATATTTTAGAATATTTGAATCAAACTACTTGAATCTTCATATTAATAAATACAGTTTTTATAATACTATCAAAGATAATATATTGTAAATAAACGTCTAACATCTTAGTTATTTAAATTAACCTCTATAATATAAATAACAATATTGTTATGTAAAGTTAAAGGCTTTATGTCCATTAAAATATTGTATGTGAATTTCAAGTAAAGAATAGTATACGGCCTCTTATTAAATTTCGCTTTAGGCCATTAATTTTATAAAGCCGTCCTTACCGGGAGAGAAGAGCTTATGTGGCTGGGCGACTCTTGAAAGGTCGATATTAGGGTTTTAGAGACCCCCTTTATTGGGCAATAGACTTCCTTAGGTGTTGCTCTCGGCTGCACAGTCGGATGCATAGATTGGACAATTCTCAGCAAATTAACCATAATATTGTGTATAAAATTTCAAATGGAGAACGATTTGAATAAAAACTAGACTCAAAGATCTTTAATTTGATTCCCTAAATACAATATAATAGATTATATATGGGGAGTTATGATAGTTTGAAGTTAAGTCGTGCAACTTTGAGCGTCTTTTTTCTTTTAACAATTTCAATTTGTTCCAAATTCCTTTCCCCGACTTCTAAACATCACTATAACCCTCCAAATCATGTCCAACACACTTTTACATACCTAAATAAATTTATTATATACTTTAGCTACTGATAGCATGCAAATGATATGTTTAGTGTTTAATATTCCAATAGGCCTCAAGTATTTAAAGAAAAAACTAGTGATATAACTCGCGCTTCACGCCGTTATAAACGACATTAGTAAATTTATATTAATTAATGTTATTAAAAATTTAACTTAAGATAGAATATATTAAATTTTTAATTATATATACAAACGATAATTAGTTTTATATATTTGATAAAATCACAAATATAATATTTGTATTAGAAGTAGAACTAAGATGAAATACATTTCTCATTACCATATTTACAACAAAAAAAATGTGCGTGTGAAGCCTGCTTTAATACATGAATTAGTGTACATGATATTAACACTTGTGTTTAAGTATTTTGATATATTTATTTCGTTAGATAGTAGAAATATTTTTTTTCTAAAAATTTCTTATATTAAAGAAAACTCCTTCGAACTTTTTCGTAGTGGCTCCCTCACATGCCGCATTTCAGAGGGAAGTGGCTCCATTTCATTATATTCCATCCATATCCTATCATTGACATAACAGATGTCGTTTCTAGTCTATCTCTTTCTATTTCTTTTCTATATATGAAAAGTTCAAAAATCATCATATAATAATCCAGAAATTGCAATAGTTGATCAATTAAGAAGGCATCCCACATTATCAGTACAGAATGAATCTCTTTTTGTAAAACTTTTATTCTTGTTAAGTGCAATAAGCTATTTTCTACTTAGATTTTGTTGTTACTTCTGCCAATTGATCGTATATTACAATTAATTATAAAAGGTTGTAGTCCATCGTAACGATACATTGTCAATATCAAACACCTAAAATTAAGGAAAACGAAGACATTCTTAAAAAAGAACTACAACCAACAATTGAAGAAGTAGAAGGCTTCGAATCAAAGAAAGATTAGGAGTGGGAATTGCCACTATACACTTCAGCCGCTCTCGGACAGTTGCACAAGCATTATAAGATATTGACGCTCTGATGTGTAATTATTGAGAGATAATGTGATGAAAGAGAGAAGCAATGCTGAGACTTCCACTGAAAACAGAGAAGACGAATAACAATAATTAAAATAGTGGAGATAGGAAAAGTTGCAACGCTTTGGACATTTTACTAAATAAAGTAAATGAAAAGATAAAGAAATAT